TTTCTTTTGAGAAGTTTCACCCATTTGCTTGAAATTCTTGCTGCTCATTCATGACAGATAATAAAGGATGAAGGAAGTAGGAAAGATCACCTTGTCCACTGATACAGAAAAAGGCTTGTAGCAGCTTTTGAAGAAATAGCTTTCTGTTATGCAGTATTACTTTGTCTAGATGAGACCTCACTCTTTTTGAAATCTCTGGAAACCTTGTGGCAGAGTCTGGATTGGATATGGAGGTGTTTATGGTGATAATGCTAACTGAAATTCTTCAAAACTTTGTTCTATGTGTACCTCATGGCATGCAAAGTTGTCTTCTGGCAGACGGTTGCTGATTAACCTACACTTGCCAAGTTCACAGGAACAAGGTCATCTGTAGCAATCTGTCCCTTCTTCAGCAAAATGTGTGTCTGGGCAGCCCATCAGGGGGTTGCCAGGGCCTATCTGCTCTCCAGTATATGGTGGGAGAGAGGTCAGGTTCCTGGACCAAAAGTTCGTGCAGTCCATGTCCAGTTATCCTTATAGCATTCACTGGGCTCCTGCAGGAGTCCCAACCCTTGCTGTTTCCACTGTTTCACATAAAGGGTCTGTGCATCCAGGAATCCACTTTTTTTATCTCCTTCCTGTGTTATTACTTGCTGCTTTTAACGAGACTAATGGTGAACTTCTTGTGCGTCTAACCATCTTTAACCTGCACAACACTGTAGAGTTGTTTTGTGTGCAACAGTCCATACCTATGGCATGCTCTTTAACCCAAAATTAGTGTGTAGGATGTTGGGTTTGGGTTGCTGCCTCCCCTACTGCTGATACTGCTAACAAGATGATTTTCAAGGGATAGGAGAAAATACTGACCACCATGTATAGCACTAGGAATTGTTTTCTCCTGGCTTCTTGGAGAGCTGTGTACCTGCAACACTCAGACCAGAGAATAAAAGAGAATCTGCTGTCTGACAGCACTGGGGTGTTCCCAGTACTTGTATATTGCCCAGTGGTTTTGTTCATTTTTAAAAATTAATCTAGTAGTTCACTACTTCCTTTGAGAGAAGAGCTCTCACTTTTGCCAAAGTGGTTTGGGAGAAACACCTCAAACTGTGTGTGTTTTCCCCTTCAGGGTCCATTTCTGCTGAACGTGCTAGATGTGGTAGCTGGCAGGGCTGTGCATTGCCAAAGTCAGAGGGCCTTCCCAACAGTTTTCTCGAACTTTGTTTCTGTCTTTCCCTTAAATCAAAGAGAGAATGGACCACCTCACCTGGCTGCCATGTCAGCCAGCATGTTTGTGCCAAACACACCTTGTGCCTTTACAGTGGGCTCTGGCCTGCCTGCCCTCCGTGCCCCTGCAGTATCTGCCTTTGAGTGCAGCAGTATTTGCTCCCCTCTCTTCTCCCTCCTTCCCCTTGCCTCCTGGTAGGACGTTGCTCCATTTCCATGCTGTGGGCAGCTCTACTGGGACAGCCTCCAACTGCATCTATCTCACTCTGTGGATCCACATCAGCCTCCTCCACAGGGTGGGGAGGAAACCTCTAGTTCCAAACAGACTTGCAAATGTAACCTTGAAATAAATACCTCTTTCTTCTGGGGTTTTCTCTTGCTCTTGAAAACAGCATCTAAAGCAGCTGTTTGAGCTAAATGTGTCCTGGGACTCCACTGCTGCCACTGAGTTTCAGAAGACCCTTAAGCACACAATAGACGTGGAGATCCTGTGGAAATTACTGATGTCAGAGCAGCAACCAGACCAGCAATAGCATACACAAGTCACATATTTACACGGCAATGTCACTAAGTAGTGTTCACAGTCACTTTAAAAGTTCAGTATTAAATTGTTGATGCTTTTTTTTTTTTCTCTCCTGTTTCTATTTTCTAATGTTTTGCTGAAGAAAATGTAACTATTTATTTTGGCAGAAATATATCTTCTAATAAAAACTTTCTCAATATATTTACCTGGCTGTGGTAGGTTGTCTTGCTCTTTAAGGTTTATTAAATATTTTTTGAATGCACTATATGATGTGGGTTTGTTTTGCTAACCCCCTCCTCCACCTTCAAATTCCTCTCAAGGTAACCATGTATCAGCATGTGCTGAATGGGGCATTGACCTGGAGGTGAAAAAATGGTGCGTTTTGGCCCAGTTCTGACTTCCTCAAGCTGAAATGACCCCGATGCTATTAGCCTCTGTTTATTGGAACTTCTGGGTAAACCCTGGTTTCCACGAGGAATTAAGCACCGTCTTGTGGGAATAGCAGGTGCTTGGCACGTATGAAAGGGGCAATAAAAAGTTAATCACACATTTGAAAGTTCTCCACTACGGGCACCTCTCTTGAGGAAACTGAACCTCTCTCTTATGGCCCTGTCTGCCTGTGAGTGAAATAGATGGCACTGCCTATTGTGCCTCTTCCGGTGAGATGCCAAGGTCTGCCGCGGTTAATCTCCAGCTGGAGCACGTGGAAACCACCGGCTCTTGGGCTGTGGGAGAGGCCCGGGAACAGGGACAAATAGCCCCACACCTGCCGGGGGGATGCCGCTGCGGGCTATCTGCTGGACGCTGCAGAGCTCGGGCTCGTCTTGGTCCAGGCTTTTGACAGCAGTAAACTTTTAGGAAGAGACTTCGCTAAGTGCTGTCACGTGAGGGGAACGAGTACTGTAATTAACATTATAGCATGCAGCTGGTTAAGCGAACAGCTTGCTTTTTCTTTTTTTTTTTTTTTTTTTTAACCTCTAATGCCACCAAAATAACAAATACCTCTTCTCGGTGAATTTGAGCCTTCTTTCCTAAAGCTGCCTGGGCGATGCCCGCGGCTCCGCCGCAGGAGCAGCTGCTTGCAGGGCTGGGTGTGCGGCTTTCGTGTCTCTCGGGGTGTTTGGGGCCGGGGCGGTGGGTGGGGGTTGTTGCCGCTTATCCCACGGGGCAGGAGCGGGACCGGCCCCGGCTCCCGCTCCCGCCCGCCCGCGGCCCCGCTCATTTCCGGCTCGGGGCCGCCCCCGGCGCCAGCGGCGGCTCCGCTGCCCCGGCCCCCGCTCCCCTCGCCGGGCCAGGTAAGCGCCGTGAGGGGCTCCCGGGGCGGGCAGGGCCGGCAGCGGCACCGGCAGGGGCGGGGGGGCTGAGGGCGCGGTACCTCTCGGACAGGTCCCCTCCGCGGGGCAGCTCCGGCTCTGCCCGGCCGGGACCGGCTGCCGAGGTGTCGCGGAGCGGCCGCCCCTGGGGAGAGCCCCGGCGGCACCTTCGCCCTCTCCTGTGCGGCCTCCCGCGCACCGCCCTGCGGCTGTGGGGGGAGCCAGCGGAGGGCTGGGGGGCTCTGTGAGCTGCGGGGGTCTCGCCTGTCCAGAGCCGCACACCTGCCTCGCCCCCCGCTGTCGGGGGTGCCTTGCCGGAGAAGGACAGGTACGGAGCATCCACGTTCCTGTGCAGAGCTGCGTTCCCCACCACACGCGCCTCCTGAGGTGTAGCCGCGGCCGTGTCATGGCATGGGGAGCGCTGCCCGGGTTGGGCCCGGGCTGGGGGGCTGCCACCCCTTTCGCCCTCTCTTCTCCTTTTGCTGTGAAGTTTCCAGGCTTTTTGATATAAGGTCGCGGGACTTTGGTCTTGCGTGTTGGACCTGACTGCAGACCTTTTACTCTCTCTCTTTTTTTATTTTTTTTTATTTTATTTTTTTACAGCATCCTCTGTTCAGGGACTGATCTCTCTTTGCACGATTCAGGTGCAGATGACACTGCACACAGTAAAGATGCTGCAGGTCCCTATGGCAGCTGTGTTGGTGCTGCTTCTCCTTCTCTTTGGAAGGAAAAACTACGAGAGCTTTCCCTCTCCTACGACTGCAGCGTCTTTTTAACATCCTGTGTGCATGGGATGCACTTCAGTGAACTTGTGTGTTGAACCTCAAGTCCTTCCTGTAGGACTTCCTGAAAACAGCCAAGGGGAAAAGAGGCCAGAGATCTCCAGCCTGGGATACAGGGAGATGGCGGTACTCAGGAATATCCTGAGGAGGCAGGATAATCCAAACACAGCTTGCTTGTTCAGTTGTGACCTGTTGAGTTCTTGGTTATTCCGATGGAGATGATGGCCATTGTGCATCAAGGGGCTCTCAGAAAACATTAATTTCTAGCTTTGCTTTATGCAAGGTTAGGGGCAATTGCATCTTACTTCTCATGTTCTAGAGCTGAATTTATTTTGGAGGATCATATAAGCAGGTTGATGCAGATGAATATATTTATATAAAAATATATATATACATCTCCTGAGGGTGATGGAAATAGCTTTTCTGGATCAACAGATAATAAGTTTAGACTGTCCTTTCACTGGCTGATTCAGGTGATCCAGAGTAGATTCTGAGAAACTGCAATGAGCTGGGTTTGAAGAATCCTCTCTTTACCGGGACACCCTGCTGCAGAGAGACTGATGTGAGGTCTGAGGCATTGGATTTTAGAATCCCTCATAAGATGGTATAAAATGTCTCCAGGGCTACTTTGCTGGGCAAACAGTGTTGTTCTCATTCTCCAGAGCACCTCTTGCATCCCCAGAGCATTCTCTTGTTTGTTTGTGGCAAACTATGGTGGGTAGTATGAACTGTCCAACTGGAAAGTCTGCTCGGCCGTGTTGTCACCATCAGATAGGAAAATTTCTATTCCCACCCCAATCTAATGCGTCTAATGAATCAAAACCCTATCTACTGATCTGAAGATGGTATTGCAAAGGAGGACTTCACGTGAGGCTATCTCTAGCAGCATGCAGACAGTGCTGGGGACTGGTGTTCCTCATGACTTTGCCAGGCAGCCTCAGAGAATAAACTGATGGGGTGAGGACAATTGACAGTAACAGCAGTCACATGGACACAGCTCCATGCACAGTGTTCTTCATGGTCAGAGAGCTTTGAGGATATTGATCCTTATGTACAATAAACTAGGTTTGATTCCCATAATACAGCTACTCACTGTCTAAATCTGTTTGATTTCATAAGGCTGCTCTGGGGACTTAATTCTCCCTCTTCTCCTTGCCTGTTTGCAGAAGCTCATCCTGGGTTTAAGGACAGTGATAAAAAACTTCAGCTGTAGCCAATGTGCCCTCCTCCACTGGGTGGAGCAGCCATCTTGTTCCTGCCAGAAGCCTTGGCTTGCTGTCTGTATAAAAGCTCAGGTGGAAATAATTGGTTTACTTCGTTTGTCTGAATCTGGAATGATTCATTTCGTTGTCCTACCAGAAGAGCAGAATAGCAACAATTATTAAGGCTTTCTATCCTTTGTCATTGTGCATCCTTTGAGGTATCTGTGGTCCAGCAGCTTGAAAGAGAGGTGCTGTGGATGTTCTGATTACTCCCTTAATATTTTCTGTCAGTGTTCTCTTTTCCTCATCCTGTGTCCTGAACCTTTAATTTCTTGTCTGATGCCAAGAAGGATTTCCCTGTGCATGGCCCTAATTGCTCATTTTGCTAAGCAAACCTGACCTCTGCAGCTGGACAAGGAGCATTGGGGTGGATCTACTAAGTATTCCCATGTGCTTCTGCTGTGGCAAGGAGCACCACGTGCTCTCCTCAGGCCATATGTTCAAAAGGTTTGCCAGCCCTAGGCTTTTAAAAACCATCAGCCAGACATTAAAAAAAAAAAAAATGCCATGGAGTGACATTTTTTTTTTTTAATTCTTAATTGGCTTCCTTGTGCTCATTTCTGATTGTCTTAGAGATTTCTTCGTAAGTGTCTGTATAAGCTTCCAAGAAATGCTTGAATCTCAGTATTTCACTGGACTGCAGGACATGGGTGCCTCAAGCACAGTAACAAACATTGTGAGCTTTGGGAGAAAACAGTGCCAAAAATAGCTGTGGGTGTTGTGTTGTGTGTAGGTTGTGGTACTGTGGACTTGCAAATGAAGTCTGGAGCCATGGTGGGCTTCCCTGTGCTTCGTTCAGGTTGGGTAACATGATTGGGAAGACCTGTGGACTTTTTAACCAAGTGTTTTTCTCTTAACCATGTGTCGCAGAGCACTAAAGCAGGAACAAATACTGTCTTGTGCTCTTAGAGACTGTGGCTTTAATCGTAGGTTTGTTTTGGAGGAAATGGGGTATGATATGATGCTTTGGAAGGGTACAGTATTCTCATCTGCTTGGCATAACTGGAAGAAAATCTGTCATGTAATAAGACTGAGAGCAAGGAGGCTTGTAACATCCCTGCTTTCTGTTTAGTGAAGTGTGTGAGTGCAGTTAATTTAGCAGAGATGTCATCTGAAGGAGGAGTTGTTGCCTCTGCTTCTGTAGTTCTAATCTCTGTGCTGGTAGGAGACTTCATATCGCTTTTCTGCCCCAGTTACTGGCCCTGTCTATGTGGAAGGGCGTGCCTGGTTCAGAAGGATGTTTGAGGATTACACGTACTTGAAAAGTCCTGCAGGAAAGGCTTGTGTTGTTCGGAGGATGGTAGGAGACCTCTAAAAATGTGATTGGGAGCCATGAACCTCCAGAGATCTGCTCTGGTGGTCCAGCAGGGTGTGGGCTTGAGGCTGGCCTGAACTTGTGTTGTTGGTAAGATCCTGGCAGATGTGAAGGTGTCCCTGCTCACAGCAGGTGATGTGTCATGGGCTGAGGCAACCTGTGTTTCTGAAGAGGAGATGAGACTATGAACAAGACTGTTGAGACCTATCCTACAGCTTTTTGGAAAGAATTAGCCTTTAGCACATGTGCTGGATGTAGGCTAAAGCAATGCAGCGAAGGCTTGAAAAATGCCTAGTTGTTGTAGCTGTGCAATCAAGGCAAAAAAACATCCACCTGTTTATTACTTCCTATCTCAAGTTCTTCCAATGAATAACAAGCAGGATATCTGCAGACCTTTGGAGTAATAAAGCTGTGTGGTGTTTAAAATAAAATTGTGGAATGCATAAATAGATAATTTAGGCTATGGAAGACAAACCTCTTGGGAAAAATCCAGCTAGGTTTGGAAATAGCTAGGTGAGTCCAGCCTCTGGAAAAGGAGGGTTAGAAGGAGATTGCAGGCTAGCTGTAAAGCCTTGGCTGAGCATGGTGGGAGCTGTGGAGAGGTGCAGGAAGGCAGATATGGCGCATAATACAGGAACTTGGTGGCCCTCAGTGCTAGAGTAACTGAATCCTTCTCCACCTAATTCAGCAAAACATCTTGTGAGTAAGAGTAATGCTTTTATCTGCCTCAGTTTCCCTTCTTCCTCTATAAAATGACGAGGAGGAAACCAAGCTCATCTTCAGCTGTGAATTGGAGCTGTAGGTGATCTGTAGGTTGACAGCAGGACAGATACTGAAGTCTTCTCTCTGGACAAGTGGTCCAGATTCGCTGTAAGATAGCAGTTTGTCAGTTGGCGAGGACTAGTGTGGCTGTACTGTTTTTAGGGAAGGTGAGCTGTAAGCCTGTGCTAGCACCTGAGGTTGTGGTGAGATGAGAAGTGTAAATTCTGCTGAACCTTATTTTCTCCACAGTTCTTGTTTGTGGACTAAGTACCTGTTTTTTGTGGGTGGGACAGGCAGGCCAGCAGAGCCATCCTGCTCTGGGGTGCATTGCTGCAGGCTGAAGCTCCTGGCCTCTGCCCAGATCCCCTCTTTGGCAGATGCAGAGCTCCTGAGCTTTGCCCAAGAAGCAAGACAAGCGTCGTCATTGCTTAGATAAGATAAAGCGTGACCAAATCCTTGTTACCCTTGGCAGGTGTGGCTAGATGTCAGCTGGAATTTGTGCAGCTCAAAGGAGTAGCCAGGCTTTGCAGCTGTGGGGAGGGTTGCAAAGCCTCTTTTAAACATGGAGACTTGATGCTGGAGCACAAAAGGGAAGGTGAGTGCACCCCAAGGGATAGGGAGAGCAAGGGGCTGATGGATATGAATAAAGGAACCGGCAACCAGTAACCCTGTGGGCAGAAGGAATTCTGCTGAGTGTTCCTGTGCCCTCCTGCGGACTCTGGTGTTGACGCTGCTCCATGAGCAGGGCTGTGTGGGTGCCCTGGTATCGAGCAGGGATGAGAACCTCTTCAGAAGCAGCATCTCTTTCTTCACCTCTCTGCTTTTTGAAGTTCAAAGATGCCTGTTGTCCTGAACTGTACCCTTCTGTCTGAGATCATGGGAACTAGGAAAATAATTTAAATTTATTGCAGGTGGAAAAGGACACATGTGGATGCCCCTACAAATACACATTTCTTCCATTGCCTGCTTTGCTCCTGTGCTTGAGAGCTACCTTCCTTCCTTCTTCCTCACCCTCTTTGCCTCTTAAAGGAGTACAGGATATCTGCTCTGCCTTCCTTTCTCCCAGACGTGTAACCAGAGGAGTAATCCTCTGTTCCAGTACAGGTGCTCAAACCCTTTTTGATTTAATGTGTTTCCTATGGCACAAAGAGTCCTTCGCTTCCGATGCAAATCTGGTTGCTCAGTCAGAGCTGCTAAATGCAAATGGACCACTTGTAGCTGTTCCCTCTTGGATGAGTGGTGCAGGCCATTACGTAAAGCATGAAGGTAAGACCTCAGGAGCCCGGAGAGCAGAGAATACGCAGATTTGTGCTGGAGGAAGGTCAGCATGGCTGTAGTTCACTCACAACCTGTTTCCAGAGTTTTGGGGTGGGATACTAGGCAGGAGGATATTTCAGGCTGTCAGTATCAAGTAAATGAGTGTTTACAGAAATGGATTAACTTTTACTGGTTATGGGTGTCTGGGGCTTGGTCAGTCATTCTCTCCCTTCCCTGCTTACCCCCTCCCTGCTGCATCCAAGTGCAGAATCTGCGCCGACTGCGATTTGGTGACTCAACCCATTCTGACGCCTGGATCTCTTTCCTTTATTCAGGTTGGACAAATAATGTTCAGTCTGTAATCATGCTTGAGAGCTCTTGCTATTGCCCTAGATATGGAGAGCTACAGAGATGCTTAGATTGGCTTAATCCAATTCGATCTGAAAATCCACCGCTCAGAACAATAAATGCTGTGGGGGGTGGTGGTGTTCAAGTGCCTTTAGTAAATCAGAAACCTTTTAAGCATTGGTAGATGAAGGGTTTTTCTTTTCAATGTGTACCACTAAATACACAAGGATGTGCAGTATGGTTGGATTAGCATTACTATGGGAACCATAACTTTTTGTGTTTCCTGACCTTTATCCATGTGACGCCAAGGATTCTTTAATGTGGCTCCAATGTGTATATTTATTTTTTTGTGTGTTACAAGCTTTTTTGTTCTAGTCAGTACTAAGAGAACCTTTATAAAGAACCCCAAGAGGAGATTAGAGACAGGACAGGCTGCAAGGTGCAGGAAAGCAGTTTGCTTGCTTTTTTGTGCTGTTCTAGCAGAATCCCAGCCAAGCCCATGGGTCAGTGTTAAGCATGACTTCTGCAGCCACAGTGAACAAAATGGTGAGTAAACTCTCCTGCTCAGAGGCAGATACCCCACCTGGCATAGCTTTGTTTAGTTTGGGTTTTTTTGCCACAGCTACACTGCTGAGCTTTCCCCAGAGGATGTGGGGTCCTGGGGCTGAGGCAAAGCTGAGCCTCTGAGGAGTGGAGCGGTGATTGTCCTGGTCAGAGTGGAGCAGAGCTGTCCTCTGGCATCACAGAGCCCTTCCAGATGGCTCAGGGGAGCTCTCTGGCCCTGTTAAACTTGTATTAAAGACAATTGTGATGGCTTGTAGTTGTCATCGTGCCCATTTTTTAATATGGGTTTTGAAATAACCATCTTAAAATAACAGGGAAGGACCTGTCTTTACCTTTGCTTTCTGCAGGTCCCATTACTGCTTGTTGCAGGTAAGATGGGGCTATTTGGAGCTCCTCTCTTTGCAGGCTGATGAGGTCTCTTGCTGTTCAGATACCAGCTGGAGCCTTCTCAGTGGAAACTGGTGGAAGAGGGGTTTTTTGCTCTCTGTAGAGGCTGGGCTTGCCCACTTGTGACTGTGGCAAAGCTTGTTTTCTGAGCAAATATTATCCTTGAGGGCTGACACAAAGAGGCATTTGGGGTAAGGGTGAGAAAAGAGGACAAAATCATACCAGGTGATGAAGAGCCAGCCTGCCAGGGTCTCATCATGCTCTTTTTTCCCTTTCCTTTTTCACCTTTCCTGAGAAGACGTCAGGCTCAATTAGTGGGAGCTGACGCAGCTGAGGGCATCTTCATGCTGCCAGGGGGCTCTGGAGCTGCTGTTGAATGACAAATCCCCATCAGCATCTC